TATTGTATAGTGTTACCAATCATTCCTTTATTGTTTACAAATACCAAGATGATATTGTATAGTGTTAACTAATCATTCATTTAAAATGAATGGAGACAAATTATCAAGAATGAATTTTGAACACAAGCAATTCTAATATTATAGTACACTAAAAGTAATTAGATATAAAAATAATTAAAAACAAGTTAGCAACAGCAATCAAACTAAAGGGAAGGCAGTTAGTGAACACCACCACCTACTGTCAACTCTTATACTACTTTTGTTACACCGAACAGTGTAATGCATTTATGGCCCCAAAGTGTGGAGTATTTTTTTTTGGCCTGGATGCAATTTAAAGATCTTCATTTCAACAGCCTGGTACATTAACCACTGAGGCATGCTCAGCCCCAATAAAAAGGATAGTAATTCAACAAAGTTTACACAAAGTATGATACTCTATATGCCAAAATATAAGAAGCAAAAACAATAGCATTTTTAATTAATTATTACAAATTGTCATATATTTTGAAAATACATTAACAACTGTAAATTTTATTCTAAAAATATTTACTTGGTTAATGCAGGGGCAGCATTAGTCAATTATGGATCTCATGCAAAGTTCTTATTCTGGGGACCATACTACTTTATATCCCCCATAATTGCCTCTGGGTTAATGACACCATAAAAGAAAGCTGATAGCAATATCACACTTCCATGATTAAACAACAAAAATGATAATTGTAAATATGAACACCTTTCTTTGCTACTAAAAAAGCTTCCTCTTCCTGTCGTCATATTTTCTTCTTTATGCAACAAAGGAGTGAGGTTCAGAGCAATACCACCATCATCACCAGACAGATTATCTAATCCATGTTTCAACTCCACAGCCATCAGGTTTGAGCTAAATGAAATAAAGTTGTGGAACTGAAGGTAATGCCACATTAAACAACAGGTAGAATTACTAGTTTACAAATAATTAAAAAATTATCTAATTATTATACATTGATAAGAATAAAGAAGTGTGTATGAGTAGACAAACTCAAAATGAACTGGGAATATATCCTATGTCCAATTAAAAAGAGATAACTCTAACATATATCCTAGTAATCAGAGTAGTATATCTGTGTAAAAACTTATGCTATATTATGAATATATTATATGATATTTCTGGAGTAAAATTGTAAAGTACAGTGTATCTGTGGAAAGGCTCACACTAACTATATCATTTGTCAGGGTAAGTGTATCTATGGAAAGACTTACACTATGAATATATCAACTGACTGGATAGAAAGTGAAACTAAAAGTATACTGCATCTGTGGAAGTATTTAAACTGTGAATATATCATTCCAGGTAAAAAATAATTTAATGAAAAACACCTTAGGTGTGAAAAAAAGGTACAGCCAAAAAAGGATTAAGCATGGGACTTAATGGAATGAAATTAAATTTGGCAACCAAACTGATTGCTACACTTGCAGCATTAATAAGAATTTTATATCAAATATTCATTCATTAGTTAGCTAGGCTGCATTTCTTTTTCTTCAACTTGATGCATGACAGTGGGTAAAACAAAATCCTTTTTTGTCCACACCTTTTTCTTTTTTTCAAACCCAAGGTGTTTTTCATTAGATATCATGACTTTTTGTCAATACAAACCTTACCTAATAAGACAGTGACACTCAACAGGACCCAGCATTAGCTTTAGGATTGCACTCCTATTATTCGGAACAGACCTATACTTTACAGTACCAACCATATTCTTTAAAATATAGGGTGGTAGCTTTTCCTCTTTAAAACAGTGTTAATAACTTCATTTATAGGAATTTCATGGAAACTAGATTAAAAAAAAATTGTGGTAGGAATTTTGTTTGAAGGAAGAGAAAACAACATGATATTTGCTTGCTCTTTTCAACAGGAATGCTCATGAAGAATTGTTCCCCTTCAACCCCACACATAAAATTAACTAACTACAATAGCCAATTCAAACAGATTTCTCCTATCTCTTAAGACTGACTGACTCATGTTCAGCTGCTGTTCACATAGAACTCTTTTCCACCTTAGTTTTCTAGGTTCTCACTTGAGTATTTGCTACTGCACCTAGATTAACAGTTTCTTGCCATCAGATGCATGCACTTGGTACAGCTGTATGAAGCATCGTCATTTATGCTAATTGCTTAAGCTAATATCATGTGATGCTAAACGCTCTTTAATTAGGAGAATTTCATAAAATTTAGCAAACTTGTCCTTAAAAGTTGGCAATGAATGATAACAATTCACCTGTATGATTTTTTTGAAAACTTGAGCTAGAAAATGCTTGGCCTAACCAATACCTATGTATCTGCATGTACTTTCACCCTAACGTTTTGCTGCTCTAAATCAGCCATCTTTAATTCAAATGACAAAAAACGGTCCACCTTTACTCTTAGGTGAAGTTGTAGTAAAAATATTAGACTGATAGCTCATGTCACATTTTGCACAAAACATTTGGTCAAAATTGAGTGATTTTGTTGAATAACTTTACATGTGTCATATATTTAGACCACATTTGACACCTAATTGTAAGTTGTAAAGATCTATCAGTGTACCAAATTTGAAATAAATCCATGAAAGTATGGTTTTCTATTAAATAAACTGTCTGTAACTTCAGTGCAAAGAAAAAAAATTGGAAGAAATTCAATCTTAACTGGAGATTTTATATATATATCACATATTTTTTAATGGATTCCCTTGAATTTGGGTACATGATGTAAAGGTCCAGTAGAGCACATCCTCTGAAAATATGTGATAATTTGGATTACCACAGTCAGAGGTACAGAATGTGGAAAATTGCTAAATTATTACTCCTGATAGTAACACACAGTGTGTCCTGAAAGATTTTTAGGATGCACAACCCACTTCTGTGTGTCTTCATAAATGTAAAGTGTATCTGTAGAAAGACACTACATTATGAAGACATCATCTGTGTAGGTAAAAAGTATAATCTTCACTAGATCTTTCTTGACAGTAAAATATATATATATAT